CCTAGATTGTATCTGAAACTGGGTTTACTAATGGCTCGTTCGTTTACGTTCCCCCTCTTTATATTAAGCTCTGGTATCTGAAAAGTCTTCAATTTGATAGCACTAACTACTACAAACCCCTTTCCATTCATTGTTTACCACACATTTTACTGAAACTTCTCAACATCCAGCATCACCAAATTTAGGTCGTTTCTTCTCCGCAACACGTCGCGTACTCTGGGTAGCTCAGAGCGGTGGGTTGCGAGCTGTTGCTTTGATCCTGACAAAACCTCAGACGTGTACTGTCACTCAGAGGAACCATCAGAAGTGTGTTTTCCTTTTCCAGAGCCGCACTCACTCACGTTTACGTCAACGAAATAATACAGTTTTCGCAGCGCCGTGGTTCTCCCAAACTCATTGGTGCGAGAAACTGGACTGCTTCTGGCTCCGCCGCAAGTCCTTTGACCGGTCCTGTCCTGTCCTGACTTGAGTTTCCCGACGTCACATTCCATCATCCAACCCGTTGCGGACATCCTGGCACCAAAAGTTGCGGCATTCTTTAACCGCAGCCTAAATCAGGCCGTTATTCCAAACGAACGGTGGAGCTTCTACCAGTATTTATATCCGGACGACGGGAGATACCCGTAAATTACGGACATGAGCATCTTACTGAAGGTGATGGAGAAGTGTATAACAAATGCCATTGTTGGCCACCTAACCCAGCATCGTCTAGTAGCACCGCAGAAGCACGGGTTCGTCAAAGGCAAGTCTTGCTTGACGAACTTGCTGTCCTTTCTTGACGAAGTGACTCTCAGGTTAGACCGCGGTGATCCTGTTGAATTCTTCCATCTGGATTTCCAGAAGGCTTCTGACTCGATCAACCATCGGCTGCATTTACTTCATTTAAGGAACCTGCGAGTTGCTTCCGGGGTGATAGACTGGAAAGGAGAATACCTAAGTGGGCGAAACTTCTACGTGAAAGTAGAAGAGTCCAGATTTAACTCCGCCTTGGCCTGCAGTATGTATATATTTTATTTCACACTTGTTTGAGGGCAGACTGTGTCAAAAAAATCATGGTACAATAATCTTTATAAAAAAGAAAATGTTCCATGATTGGCCTGTGGGCTGATTACTGCTAGGTTGCCCAGGACAAGACAGGTGAATCTTCTTAATGAATCCACAACCGAAGCCTTCGGCTAGCCAAAGCCTGACCCGCAAGGCAGCGCAACGGTGTGTAAAAACCGCTACCCATAGGGAGCCGGTGTCCAGTTCACCGGATCATACGCCCTTCGGACGGGGTCAGACGTCCAAGGTGCCCAATACACCTCAATGCCCAATTGAGCCGGTGACCACTGCCACAACCGAAAAGGCGTGAATGTGGTTCGTACCCCTTCTCATGGTTGGTTTGGAATCAGGGTTTTTGGCCAACTCCCCTAGGTGAACTGCCAGTGGTCCACCAGCCGGCTACAGTTCCAGATATCGGCTTTTTGTCCTCTCACTTTGGTGGGAAAACACCTCTGCTGCGAAAAGGCAGTGAGTAGGGCTCCCTCAGCATAGGCTATTTGAGACGCTTGGTCTTATGAGAGCATTTCGTGAGCTGCAAGGGCAGGGTGACCAGACGCAACCCTAAACACCAACCCCCGACCATACTGGGAGTTTTGGAAGCTTACCTACAGTAGGGTACCACAGGGATCGGTAATC